TACTGTACAAAAAAAGTTTTGGTTAATCCTTGATATTGTCAAGCTTCAGTTGTGCATATGTTCCAGTGTACAGAAACTATTTCAATAAATCTGTTCTCTTGAGATAATATCCATCCTAAAATATTCTCACTTACAGTACATACATAAACAATTAGATTGCTGAAGTTATAAAAATGTTAACATGCTGAAGGAGACATAGGTTGTTACAAATTAAACTTGGTTTTCTGCGACCTCTGCTTAAAAAGGACTGCATTCTTTTTCAGTGCTATTTTTAATAGTTTTATGGTAATCTATTTCGACAAAGCACATTACTAAAATGCCAGCTATCTCATAGTCATAATCTATCATAATCTTTGAGTTCTTGGTCATGGATCTTCCAGGAAATGATTAATGTATTTGTTTAATAATACAATGTTTAAATAAACTTGAAAATGCTTACATTTCAATCCAAAATACAAATAATTCAGTTGGGTGGTTTAAGGGTGTAGTGTATTTTATTGTAAAAAATGCAGAAAAGGAAAGTAGTGATGAATTTAAATAAAAGAGCCTATCTGAGCTGCTGTATACTATACCATGAAGAATCACAGGCAGCATCAGTTTTTAAACCATAACGTTGTGCCAGGCATTATTATCTTGAATGCCTTTGTTGATTGTGACACTTCTGTTTTCAAGATGAATCACAAAACACTCATTAAGAGGAATGAATTTTAAAAACAAACAAACATACTGTAGGTATAGAAAAAGAACAATATTAAACATTGGTATTTGGATTATACAAGAAAAATAGATATAAATTATATGTAATATAGATATACATTAACTATAAAGCAAGTCATTATACAATTACAGGGCAGCTAAGAAGAATATGACAGAAAGTTAGAATTCCAGTCCTAAAAGGAAACCTAAAACCCTCAAATGGAAAATAGGTGTGTTGTACTTACTGAGATTTCACCTGGTATGCAAATACATTCTGGCAGCACTGCATATACAGTATTCTAATCTTTCTGAGATGTTACTACCTGCCACTGATAGACAAAGTCTAATTGAATTCTATGTGCAAATGTAAGGAAGTATTTCTTTTTTGTTTTTATCCAGAAATATTTATTTAGCCTACAGTTTTAAATGCAATTGCAATTTAACAAAAACACAAAAATAATTCAGATGTGCCATGGTCAGAAGACCCAATGTACAGTATCATCTGAGATTGCAGTTTCAGAGAAGTTTGTTATAGGTGTCTCTGGCACACCTACCTGTGCCTTTGCCGGCTTCTTCTTATTATCATCGACAGTGATCTCAATAACGGGTATTTAAGCAGCATGTATTCTTACTTTGTGTAATGCAATACTCACTTCTAAGGTGTTTTTTTAAGTTTCCCAATGAATGCCTTAGTAGAAGAGACCTAGTAATCACAGAAACTGCTACCTAATGAAGAAAGTTGAAACATTAACTTTTAAAGCAGGGCTTTACCTTGCCAAAAACTGTTTCTAGCTTTATGGGTAATTCAGTCATAAGTAATTGTGACCATGTGTAGGCACAAATAAAAATCCTGTGAATTTATAGTTTGTTATAAAACTGTAGCCTGCTCTTCCAGACTGAAAAAGATGTCCTTTTATGGTTTCGTGTTTTTTTTTGTCCTTGAAGTTTCTTGTGTGTAATATTTCTTCATGGAGTACTTTATGAAGTATCTTTTTCTGAAGAAGATTTTTGAAGTTTTCTTTTATTTTCCCTTTGAGTAACTGTCCATTTTTCTAGTGGTTGTTCACAAAGGCAATATTTTTAGAAATTTACAGTGGTAACATTTCCACTATGTAGAAAATTTGGAGTGGCTTAGTTCAAACTGTAAATGTCTATTAAGGATTATGGCAATGTATGACAATGTATGACATTACCCTGGAAGAAGGTCGGTTGAGAGGTCAGGGAAAGATGTACAAATTACGGTCTGCTATAACCGGTAATTATCTCATTTAGAAGCTAATCTTCTACCAAATGTGCAAGTTCAGAAGACATGAATGTGAGTGTGTGTGGCTCACAACAGTGACCATGTTTGTAGTCTTCTTCCATTCCATGCTAGAGTAGCAAAACTTTCACTAAATAAATGTTTTATATAGTATTTTAAAACCATTGCAAGAGAAAGAAGAAAAATAATTTTCTTGCAAACATAACACCCTTTCTCATAGTTCTAGGATGCAGTGGCAGGGAAAGTTGTTGTTCACCGTTTTTCCTCAGTTATAATAGAATCTTTATTCTTCTACTTTGTGTAAGAGGAAATATTCAACCTCTTTAATGCATCGGACTGTTGTACTGTATATAGGCACAGGTTAGTGAATATGATGTACCTGCTTTTTAACGTTTTTTAGCAGACATCAGAAAATTCATGTTGTTCTTATCCGTCACAGATACTAGTTTTGCTGTAACGAAGTCATTTGTAACGTGGAAAAATATGCCGGTGATGAAAAAAACAATAACTTGATTTTAAGGCCTTGTTATTTTTTTACCACCTCATAAATGTAACCAAAAGCAAGAGAAAGGACCATAATAGACTAGAAGAACATGAGCAGTGCTTTGTAGTGAAGGACTTACTGTATGTTTCACAAAGTCATTCCTTGGTGCCTGCTAATGCATCACATCCCAAGTAATTCTGAGTTTTGTTTTTGAATTTGTATGATAATTTTATCATTTGTATATAGCAGATGTTTAAATGAACATACTTGAGCAATACGTTCTCTCTTCTCACTAGAATATTAAGACTTTCCCTGAGGAAAATTGTAATGATCTATCATGAAGTTTGCTAGACTTTTCTATTAGGTGAGAAAGAATTGCTAATATGGTGCAGAACACTTGTATCCTTCGTGTTAGTAACTGTTAAATATTTTACATTTGTATCTGCTAAAAGGAATTGGCGGATGAGTAACACCATCTGCGCTGGTGCTGTAAGAAAAAAGTTTGAAATTAGTGGATCTGAGAGGCTGTTCTTCAACTCTGGCACTAGTCTGTATTTGAACGTTGGATGTAACAAACTGTTGGAAATAATTAAAGCAATTCTTTAGGGTAGCGTCATAAAAGAAATGTCAGCACAGTTTCTTAAAATTAAACTGCTGTCAGTATTCACTTTAAAGGAGTGGGTTATGTTCTCTGTGTTAGTTTATATCATTAGCGCTTTCCTGTTGTTTCATTTTTAACTTCTTGCGTGGCCTGTTCCTTGTGTTCATACTTAATCCCTGTTGTTGCGTTTTTTTTCTTATATTGTTATTTGGCATGCCAGTTCACGTGTGCAGAAAAAATAACAGGTTCTGAAAGGACTTCATGAAGCTGATTTAATGGATAGGGGAACAGGAAGCCTATGAGGCTTGGTGGGAAATTTGTAATTAAATGTATTGTACCTGGAGTATCTGCTTCAAGTACCTATCTGTACTAGTGACTCACTATATACCCTTGAGCAAGTTACTGTACAGTGTATATAAATTTGCACTTTTCCTTTGAATGAACCCTGAAAACCTTATAAATTTGCCACAATCTCTTTCAGAATGTCAAACTGTGTTTGTTGGAGGGGTATGTCTTCAAGACTGCTGTCTTCCTGACATCACTTCTCATCTGCATCCACTGATGAGGTGGAGTGCTAGTACAGTAGTTATCAGGACCATAGAGGAGTTTCTCTCCTACAAGTGAGTGATATCAGGTAGACGAGAGCTTTCAGGCAGTTCTGGTATTAGTGGATTTGCAGTTGTAATTTATTTGCAGTGCAGACTGTTTGCTCTTTAAGTCATGTACAGGTTGAGATATCACAAATTATTTATTCATACCTATTATTGTTCATTATTTTATTCATTAATACAATATTATCCATACATGTTCTTCATATGTATCAACAACTCCATTCCTATCTATCTTTTGGCTTTCTATCCCCTTCAAAATCCCCCACCCACTTTCTGTGCCCTTTTCTCCATCCCCCTACTTCCAGAGTCCTTTTATTCTATTCTTTTGCTTCTCAGTAGTAGAATGAACTGTCCACAGTTATGTGTGATTTGGTTCTTGTTCTCTTCACTGTAGATGTTGAGTGCAAGTCACCAGGCAGGCTTGTTGCTGCTTGATGTTTTTGCCTGGCAGAGAGCTTGTGGTGCTCTTCCAGCTTGTATTGGCTTTATTTTTCATTTAATTTTGTTTTTTGTTGTATATAGTGTACATGATTGTTCCTGTAAATTTCGTACATATTGTGCGATTACAAGTGAATTTCATATTTCTATTGTGAGTCGCCCTCACTACTGGCGTTTGCTACGGAAACTAGATAATGTTGTTTAATTGAATGTCATTTTTCAAAAGGAAATGTTTTTCTTCGTGGTTGACCTTGTTCAGATGTGTTATTAAAATGAGACAGGAAAAGCGTATTTGGAGAAGAACTACACATTTATTGAAACGTGTGGACTGTTTGTTTAAAGTAATGACTTTACTCACTTCAAAATGTGTTCATTTTTGTGGTGAGATGATTGTGATTATAAAAGTGAAAGATTAGATGCATCATTCATGATTCAAGATGTATAGTACCCTTGCAACAGTATGATGCAGAAGCTTCCTGTGCTGATATCAAATTCTGAGTGCTGTCTTGTGTTCTCTCAGTTTGCGGGAGAAAATAAAAAAAATCTCTTGTTTTCATAATGATGTGTAGTGTCTAATGCTTTGAACACCAAAACACTTCCAGTTGTTTGTATGTTTAAAATAATAAATTGTTGGATTTAAACATTATCTGGTTGTTTACTTTTTGAATTGATAGTATGGCATATTTTCAAGGCTATTTAAGGTAAAACTGCTGTGAATTGTGATTAACATTGTAAGTAACATTCTCAAAGTTTTATAAGATGTTTTATAAACTTTAGAATTTCAATGCCTTAGCTCTGTATGATTGCGGTGAAACACACCTTTAATTGTTTAAGGGTTTAAGAAGTGAATTGTGTGTAAGAAGTGAATTATTTACATTTTTATTCATAACTACTTTTCTTATACTGTAGATTATTAAACTATTGGATGGCAAACGTTCTCAAGCTGTGGGAATCCTCATATCAAGTTTGCACCTGGAAATGAAGGACATTCAGCACGGTGAGACTAATTCTCCCAAGAATATCGCCTGTTAGGTCAGAGTTTACAAATGATTTAATAACTTGCAGGATTATCCTTATCCTTAGTAACATCTAAGAGGTGTTATCTCTTACTTGCTTTTGCTCGGTCACAATAAGTCAAATTTAAAAATGTTGTTTACTGCAGACAGCGTCTTTAGAACTGAGAATGCCTCCAGTGTTAATTTTACATTCAAAGTAGATCAAAATTAAAATATAATCTTAGCAATCATTTTGAATTGTATTTTTTATTTTAAAAAAGGAAACTGTTTTTCCAGCTTTGTTTTGAAAAGAGATAGAAACCTCAGTGTTATACACTGATTTGCAAAAGCAACAGAGATGCATATATAAATACATTGCTGAGGTGAGGGGAATAAATAGGGCACCACTGGTTAAGGTCTGCTTAAAAATACAAGAAATTCATATTTTATTATAGATGTACTGTACATTATAATATGGTGAAGTAACACATTGTACGGTCATCTTCAGAAAATTATTTTCAAATTGAAAAATTCACATGGTAAGCAAATATGAACTAAGTATGATCCTATATCACATGATACAATAGTGATTCTGTATTTCTTTGATGGGTGTTATACATATTATTATTTTAGGATTTTTGTGTGGTATAATATACAGTATACTGGGGTGTTCTGTGGTATAATATATACCTTATCTAAAATTCTGAAAAAAATGTGGGCATTTCAGCTAAAGCTATTAAAATAGTTCTGATCTATAGTTTTTAAATTTACATTACTTTAAATAATATTATATGTCAGGATATTTTGAAAGATGGTAAAATTTAATAGTATTTGCTATAATCTGTAAACCATGACTCCTGTGCTTTCTAGGTTTCGATGAAGCTTTAATGAGAGAGTATTCACCATCACATGTTTCCTTTGCTTGGCTTGTATTTTGCAAAAGTTAGCTAAATAACAAATTGAGTTTTCTTCTTGGGTTATGACAAGGAGACAGACCACGTTATTTTATATGTCTTCACTCAAAATGTAACCAATTCATAAAAAATTCCAGGAAGAGAGTCTGCTTGAAGAAATAAGGTTTTCAAACTTCACAAATGAGAGAAGAAGACCTTTGTAAACATTGTGCTCTGTTTACTCACTGCTATGTTTTTAAATATTTTTTCTGCTCTTTAACCAGCTATTCCTTTCACTTGACATGCCTGGTCTTTGCAGCAGTACTGTAAAAATATACAGAAGGGCATCATTTTTAATACAGTATTTAAACCCCTAAACGATGCCTCAAAAGCAAATCTTTACAAAACAGAAAGTTCAGATTGTGTGAATATTTTCCGAGCAAACCTTAAAAAGTGCCTCAATGTTTTAGTGTGGGAGTCTGGTCTGTTTTTTTTAGCTTTGTATTTCAAAGTAAAGTGATAGTTAAATTTTGTCAGTTTGGGAACAAAACCACAATGATGATTTTTCAGTAAAAATATCATATGGTGATGTAGATCTACATAAAACACTTTTCTAAATTTTCTAGCCCAATAAGAGTGAAAAAAACAGATTCAGCCAAGTAGCAGTTTTCATTTTTTAAGGTAGAGAACTCCTAATAAAATTACCAGCTTTTCACAGCAGGTGTCAACTTCCTTATGACTTAATGTGAGGTGTAGGTGAAATGGACAGTCTAATCTGACAATATAGGAAAGCCAGTTAATAAGGACTTCTAAAGACTCTGCCCCCTTTGCTAACAGTTGTTTGCAAATTAAAAAGACATCTGACATTTAATGCAATTACAACCACTAAGGAGTTTGAGGTCTGGGAAGGCTCTGGTTTGTTTCCAGTGACTGAAGGAAAGCCACCTTCACTTCTAGGCCACCAAAAACTCATAAGAGAAAAGGTTACTTATGGCCGATGTGATGAGTGAAAAGTAGATGAAAATGAGTGGGACCACATTTCTAGCACTTTGATCTACCCATGCAAAGATATCCGGGCTCCACGGCTCACTGCTGTGGACGCTGTTTGCCTGTTTGGGAAATTATTGAACAGCTCAAGGAGAGTTGCTGTTGAGGCCAGTGTAATCCATTTTAATAAGGAATAGGAAATTGGCCTCCATCTTATTTTTTCATAATCCCACCATGAAGCATGCTCACCCAGTTTTGCTCTGAATCCTGAGTCCCATGTAACTCACAAAAGAAAAGTTGTTATTTGGTATTTGCAGCATTTTATTTGGCAATTGTGCAGTTTGACAATAAACTATGTGTTTCTATGGTTTTATATAAAATATGCTTCTGTTTAAGTCAGGTAACAAAACATCTTAAATTCTTTTTACATCAGTCATTATAATTGCGTAGACGTGCTTAACATTTCTACACATATTTCTGTATAAAACAAAATTAATTGAAAAGTAATATTTTTTGTAAATGTTGTTGAAACATATATTTAATTCTTAAGAACTGTGGTAAATGGTTTTGCATACTTTAAAAAAACAATTCCATAACATTATTTCCAGTGTTAAATGCATAGAGTAATTTCTAATATTGACTTTTTTGTTGTAAACATGTTAACTCAATTGCAAATTATTGTAAACTCCTAACATAGCAAGAAAATATTTAAAGAAGGGAGGACAGTTGTAATTTAAACTTAAATTTTCTTAATTCAATAGATAAACATCTTTTTCTTGATTTTGTCTTTGATGAATGTTAATGTGTTCAAACAAAGTCATTGACTCAAGATCATTCAGTCTTTTTTAATTTCCAATATAAATAAATAGTTGTTCAAGTTCAGGGGTATAATTAGAAAAGCCTGGCTATTGTACGAGTTTTGTAAAAATGTTTAAAAAGATTTCCAGCTCAACAACAACACACTAGAGCCAGTTTATTGAGCCAACGATTCTACAAAATCTGTAGCTTCATTTGGAGCAGACTAACAAACTAATTTGTAATCACTTTCTTGCTTTTCTACCTGATCACATTTCAATAAACAATATCGATCAGTCAAAACTAATCCTTCATTTTGTTAAATTTGCCCGCAGTGCACAAGGTTTTTTATTTTTTTTGTCTTTTGGTAATAACTTATAAAAACTGCTAATACAGTCTTTTTATATAGTGAATGTAACCCTAAGTTGATATTGCTCTACAGAAGCCTTTTAGAACTAAAACTTCCATTAAGCACAGGTGTTCATCAATAAGGGTAATGCTCTCCATTTACTGTACAGTAAATACAGAAAAGGCATTACTCACTCACTAACTGCAAATTATTGAGTTTAAAATTTTCACTCTCAAACTTAAACTTTTTAGACAAATCTTTGAGCTCTATCCATCATTTACTGAAATTCCGAAACTTTTGTCTGCACTTCTCCGTCATTATGGATATAACTTAACTCTGATTTCACTTCTATGGCATCTCCAAATCTTGATGGTTTACACATTATTTAACAAGTTGCTGTATTATTTTCAGTGATGTGGGATTTTTGTTTGCATAAAGAAAAGTGTGTAGCACGGAGAAGTACATTTTTGTCCTTATTGGCATGTGTTCTTTATACTGACAAATCTCTGGATCGCCTGTTTCTAGCACATTTAGACACCTTGCCAACCTACAGATCACTTTGAGTGCACAACCACAGAATCATCCTCCAGAACTTATTCTGACAGCTAGAAGTAATAAATCAGGAGTAAACTTCTGTCATTTCTATGTAAAGTGCATAGAAGCTGACAGAGGTTTGCCATTGCTATAATTGCACTACAGGTCTGACCTTTAAGCATGCTTTCCTGTTAAACTTTATTTTCACTATATTTTAGAAATGGGAGAGTGGAAGGAGGAATGAAAAAGAAGTGTGGTTTTCAATCTACATATTCTTGACCTGTCTGCATTTTAGAAATGAGCTAATTCCAGGCTAAGGGAGAAAAACATTATTTCCCCCCCAAGACCTCTTAGTTTCCCTTTAAGAGATCATTATTATGTTCTGTGGTGGTTCCCACTGAAAGGGCAGGGGTTAAGCAGTTACAGGCTCTCTCCTGTGACCCATGGTTGAGAAGCTTGGTGTGCTGCTTGTACATTAGAATTACTGAGAGTAGAAAGCCTTTCTGTACTCTTATGGACTTTTACAGTGCTGATGGTGCACTGTAATGATCACATGTTATACTGGAAATGTCTGCATTCACTGAGTTTCAATATCCTAAACTTTTAAAGAAAATTCTTCTCACCGATTGAAGTGATTCTGCTTAAAAAATCCCTGTCCTGTCTCAAGTTTCTGTTTCCAACTTTAATTGCAGTTTCCTTTGCCTTATTCAACGAATTGATAAAAAGGATGTGTCTGTGCTTCTAATATGTATCACAGTTCAACACACACACAAAGATATATGTTAATTGAGCTCTTCGAATTTGGAACAGGCTACACAAGCAGGAAGCAAAGCTTTGAGTAAGGAGGGTTAAGTGAGACAAGGAATCCATTTAAAGTGCGTCCATTGAGAAATACTTTTGAACCTAGAATTACGTCAATGCCATAAGAACTTTGTGCTGGCAGCAAACCTGCTGGCATTATACCAAACAGCTCTCACGTATTACTGTTCTCTTGCTAAAAATGTCCATTCTACTGGGTGTGCAAATTACTCTTACATAGTCAAGTCAGTTAATAACCAACAAAGTTGTTAACTCTAAAGCAGTCATTAATAAAGTATTTATAAATGATTAACAACAATTTGTCATGTATGGTCATTATTCATTAGAGCAACAATCTGCTACTACCTGTTTGTTAAGACTAAATTCATATTTTCTTCTTGAATTTATAAATGGATTTTCGCTCCTTATACTCACGAGTTACCAAAGTAAAACATGCTATGGGATTTGTGTGCCCCTGCTCTGTGCAGGAACAGAATTCAGCTTTTGGATTTATTAATTTACAGGATTACATTTACATTGTAAAGGGTCTACTAACTTCCTGACAGGGTACTAACTACCAAATGCTCAATTTGCCAAATAGCCTCTTCTCATTTGGAACCTTTCTTATGTTCTTTCCCTTTCTAATCACCTAAAATGCAAAACTATTACTATAATTCTAACCTCTTAAACAATAAAAGGATTTTATATACGCCCCAGGAATAATCTGTGGATACATAGCTTATTCCCAAATATACAATGGGGAAAAGCCAAAGTATAACTCAAATTGTTGGCTTTGCATTCACAGTATGTAGACAAGCATGTATAAAACCTGTTGGATTTTGGCTCAAAACAACTTGGTGCAGGAAATAGCATGACTAAATGCATTTAACCTTCTAAACTTTGCTTTAAAAATCGTCATTGTTTCCAAATGCAGGCAGATGCTAATTAAGACAACATGCTTTGCTTAAAATAATCCAACTATATAAGAAAAGGCCTCTAATAAATGGATTTACTGTTGCAGCTGTTTTAACTGTGGACAACTCTGTTGTGGACTTGGAAAACATTGAGGCTTTATATGAAAATGTGAGTATGCAGTGTTGTTATATGATATTGTGTGAGAAATCTAAGAATCCTGTTAAGTATTTTTCACAGGAATTATTGCATTACCGCTGTACTTATCAAGAATTTACTTTGTGTCTATAATCCACATACTGTGATGTCATTTAATGTTTTGGTTGAGTATAGCATTTGGCAGTTTACTGTCCAGTTCACCCTAATAGTTATCTATTATTTTTTAAAAGTTGTTTTGTACAGTATATTGGATTGTGTGTGTTTATTTTCTAATTGTTTTGCAGAGAGCCCAAAGTGATGAACTGGAGAAAATTAAGAAACATTACGAAACATCGAAAGAGGATGAAGTGAAGTTGCTTGATAAACCTGAACAGTAAGAATCCAAAAGAGCAAGGCTTTATTTATTGCAGCAATTATTTTCTTAGGTTTATTCATTTGTTTTTCGCATTGTGAATTTCCTGGCATAAGCGTCTGTTCTTAAACTTTACTGATCACATTGTACAGGTACTTCATATGCATGTTACAGTTGGATGGAAATAATGTGACAGCTCCTAGAGACAGTGTTGCAAATCTTGTAAAAACCTGTAGGAGCTACAGCGATGCACTAGTTAAGCAAAACATTCCCAGATAAGATTGCTTTCCTGATTTTGAACATGTTTTTTATCTGAACTAATTAGTGTAAGATTCTGTTTTTTTGAGTCATCTGAGTAATCCAATATCAGATTTGAGCCTAGATCAGGTTACTAGCTGACTGTGACTGGGATTCTAAGCGGAGGCCCAAAATTGACTGAGCACTATCAAGGGAGGGGGAAGTTAGTTCTCTCTTGGCTTCTTGTCTACCAGCAATACAGTGACCCCTCCAAGATGCCAGGTGCTGCTAGGTTTGTGATTCTATTGGAGAGAGATGTGCTTTTCTTCCAGTCAATGCTAAACCAGCTGTATGGGGATGAGTAGCTTGTGACACGTCAAAAATGATGAATAGATCTACTGGAAGTGGGAAGGTCAGTGTCTACCTACACTCCCCCTTGTGTTGTTACAAGGTTTATTGCTGTTTGCCAAAATGTTAAAAAGACACTATTGGCCAAACAATGTATAAAATTACTACATTAATTTTAACTATATGTTTTAAAGTTACAACATAAAACAAAAGTTATCATTTAAGAAAAAAAATGATATTATCTCTTCTGTATAGAAAACGTGCTTTACCAGGAAAAGGGCTTACTTTTGCTTACGTAGAAATTCTTTATAAAAATAAACTGAACACCTACAGTACACTGGGTTTATGACGCTGTTGTATCACCATCCTTAAATATTTTTCCTTTTCTGTGCTCTTCTCTGCAATGTTAATGGGGCTTCTTCAGAGTAGTTTCAAAACAAAACAGGTCCACAATAGGCCTGGTTACCACAATAAATTGGGAAAGTTTAGCTGAAAGCTTAACAGTTTGTACAAAGCATATGATTTTGATTTATTTGTGCTGGCGCAGAGGAAATATTCTGCTACTTTAACATTTGTCTATAAATTAATCGTCATAATGGAATTGCCGTGTTTTAAATAATTGTCAACAGGCATGAGTCATTTTCCACTAGCATTCCATTTCCATTGTCTGAGGCCTAGCAACATCCAAAAGTTTTAATTAAAGTAATTTTGTTAAGTATTTATGTGAACACTAATTAGTATACAAATGTATGCCTGGTATATTCATTGGCAATGGGTCACTGTATTACTAGAGATATCGGAGTTACAGTACAACAAAAAATATATCTTAAGATTTTATTATCTCCTTTAGTTCTTCAGAGGCAGTTTCACTACATATTCTTACAAAAAAAAATTGAACACTTTTCACTTGTTTCCTTTTAAACTGTTATCCAAAGACTGAAGTAACTTTTATCCTGTCCAAGCATGGGACATGGAACTTCTCAGACATTGTTCAAAACACTTTTCGGGATATTACAGGTAAGATAATAGTAATTCTTTTGTTTTCATTATCCCCCTTTTTCAAGTGTAAGTGCAGAGAGTCAGACAGTTAGTACCTCCAAGTATGAAATCATATGTCCTCCTATGTTTCAGAGCAGTGTTTTATAATGCAGTGTTTCTGTTACAGGTTCCTGTATGAGCTGTCTCAGATTCCCGACTTTGCAGGGCGCGCTCACTGCATCATATTTCAGTCAGTATTCTTTGAGGGGGTGTCTTCTGTACGTCGTAAAGTAGAGATTGTCTCACGTGTTGTCAAGGTATGGGAATATAAAGGATATAGGCTATAGTAACTACCATAATAATCATCTTAATATTAGATTCAAGAGATATAAATAAATATATCAGGAAATAATGAAACCCAACAGGGACATCAACAGATGGACTAGTAACTAAAAGTACCAGTCAGTGCTCTTAAGTGGTCATTAGTATCTGTGCTTTCTAACTACAGTACATTAATGTACGATATACATCGCAGTGTGGTGGGACTGTCATTTTTCCCGTGTTAAATAAGGTACTATAATTATGAATTTAGCTGTAAATCTGAAGTGAAAAAGTCACATACAGTAGGAAAGGAAAATTCTTATTTGAAGATTTGTATCAGGATTTGGTGACGTATTCTACCTGGAAAATTCAAACTGAATTATGTATGCAAAACACAGAAATGTGGGTTTATTGTTTAGGATAGTGGCTAATTCAGCTTTAATTTTAATATTAGAGTTAGCAGTATTTTATTCAAATAGAAAAGGAGATTCAAGATTTGAAGCATTTTTTTGTTTTTCCACAGAAAAGAAAAGTGAGATGAATGAGCAAAATATTTATGTCTGCAGTAATTCTCAAAATGCCATACTGGCGACTTCAGGTTTTTTTTTTAAATTAAACAATTAATTTCTCAAAGCATGATGCGTTATTATTTAACAAAATAGGTTCAGAAACTGTTCTTTCATGTTTTGATGTTAACCAGATTTTTACTCTTCAAGGGGCTGCTGGAGCCAAGCACTGTGAAAGATGTCCTAGGTCTGGTCTTGGCTTTTGGTAATTACATGAATGGTGGGAATCGGACAAGAGGGCAGGCTGATGGCTTTGGGCTGGAGATTTTACCAAAGCTGAAAGATGTGAAGAGCAGGGTATGTGTTTTTATTGGTGTCCCTATCCAAACAAATTGGGGGGTGTTGATAGCTCGTGGTATTTTTTTCAGTTTACTCTAGTTTTGTCAAAGGTGCTGGAGGTTTTTTAGAGTATAATAAAATGTGGCAAATTTGTAAGAGCAAAAAAAATAATTAAAATGATACCTGACCTGAACACATGATTAAAATAAAATGATTTATTTGCTGAGATATATAATATTGAGTTAAAGAAAACATTAGAATTCAGAAAATAAATTTTACTTTTCTCATATTCCAATTTAAAGCTACAGGGTTACTATGCCTGTTTTATTATCCTGATAATATATGGCATCAAATGTAAGGTTCAAGTATTTAAATCGTCATAAATGCAGCATAAACAATTTTTTGTTCCTCTGGCTGATTCATGTATTTGTTTTGCAGGACAACCACATCAGTTTGGTAGATTATGTGGTCACATACTATCTACGGTATATGGACAAGGTATGTATGCTTCATGTGCCATTATGTTTTTTTCTTTCATTGTTAATTGAAGATAAACACAACAGGTAATACAATGTGCAATCTCTGCACCTAATAACAAACTAAACATTAGTGTATGAAGAGTATGAATGTGCATTGCCTGTGACAAAGGTATTGAATTCAAACTCATTTGTTGTTGTTTTAGAATTGTATTTGTTAATAATATTGAATCTCCTATGTTGGAGTCTTATAATTTAAATAATTAAAGCCATTTCACAAGTAAAAGTGTTTTACAAAGAAACTTGAATTCTCATTTTTGTGCTGTAGTATTACATAAAACGGAAACAGTGTTTATATTTACATTTACTGTAGCGGATATGTGCAGATATTATACATTTAGTTGCAACCGTTTTTAGTAACCCCAAATTTAAATCAGGAATAAGATCATTGTCCTAGCCATTATTTAAAAGCAGCTGTTATTAGCGTATAACTCTTATCCTAAAGTCCAACATTCTTTTGTTTATAGTAGTTTTTACTCTGTTCCTGATGTTCAAATCAAGTTTGGAAGGACTTTCTTGTCTATGCAACCTTGGAGATAGCTAGCATCAGATTTCCTTGAAAATCTAGACTTTTATTTACAGGCCTTCACTGTCTTTTACTTGCAGAACGCAGGAACTGACAAGAGTATCTTTCCACTGCCAGAGCCCCAGGACCTGTTTCTAGCTGCTCAAGTCAAATTTGATGATCTCACAAAAGACCTCAGGAAGCTGAAAAAAGAACTGACTGGTAATTTTTTTTTCTTACCTTAAAAAGTGCTAATATGAAAAGTGTCTTCTTAAGCTTGGCAATAACCCTGCCTTTGGTATTTGTTTTCCTTAAAAGCTTATTGGGGTAGATTTGTCCCCATATTGATTTTGTTAGTATTCTCCCCTCATTGATTTCAATTGACATTATGAAATGTTAAAGACAATAGCACTGGATGTAGTCAGGCCTTGTGCCAGCAGACGCCCTGTCCACTGAAGGTCGGGCTGATACTAGCTGACACTTCACTTACCGACAGGCCTGTCCAGAGGTGAAAGGCTAGGGCTTTAGTCCACTATGCCCTGAAGCCCCCTGGCCTTAATTATTTAAATTAACCAATAACATGCCATATGAAAGCAATTAGATTTGGTAACCATTTTCCCCTTAGTTTGCGGTTGCTGTTAAACCATGATCCTTAGCGACCTGTAAGACCCTGAATAATACAAAGCTTCTACAAAAGTACTCTTGGACTGACTTTGACCTTTCAGGAATTTATATAGACTAAAAAGAATATTGAAGACATTGCATTTAACACAAAACCATGAAAGTATTAGCGACTTTTAAAGATGCAGCAGTGGCATATGGGTATTTCATGTGAAGTGAGATGGTCAGTATGACTGGAACTCTACATTTTATTTTACTGTATACTGTATATATAGCAAAAATGTACAAAAATGGCAATGTCCTTTAATTTTAAATAGGTACTGTGAGCCATGAATTAGTATATATTTTCCAGTATTTAATTACTTAATACAAGAGAAAGCAATTGATAAGGCGTGTCATACCAACAGCTTTTAATTTTAAATAGAGTATTTTTATGGGATAAATCTGATTTACATTAAAGCACCTTATACTGTATATACTGTACACCTCATCTGTATCATACTGTCATAACAAAAGCAGGAATTCCCTGCTTCCAAGATCTCAGCAAGACCAGATTATGGATTTGAAATGTTAAGCTTCAGTTACACAACTGTTTAGAGTGAAGTCTCTTGAAGCCGGAGAAGAAAAGATTTTGATTCCAATTCTTTCTTCCCATAACCTTCAAAGGTCAGCCAAGAGGTGGGCACTAATGCCACAAGCCAGACAAGGAGCTTGAAATAACAGCAACCTTACCATCCCCTGGGTTAATTCAAGCACCGTTACCTTCCTGCTCAAACAGGAGCCCTTCTATTTGAAGTAATTTATTTGTTCCATTAAATGGGGTGAATTTGGCAATAGCCACGATACATGGAGATGTCGAGGTCAGCAGGGGAAGGAAAGTATCAGTTGTTGTTTGTTCAGTGCAGTCACACGGGAGTGCTCCATCTTGCTCTCCAAGCTTGGCCTCTATCTATGAGGGTCTGCCGGCCTGCCCTCTCTGCTGGTAGTTTCTGTAGAAACATGATCTGCGTTTGATCTGCTCTTCTGTCAGGGGGCTTTTGGTACATAGGCACGGCTTCTGTGCTTTTTTTTTTACAAATAACTGTCAGCATGATTAGATGGCCAAAAAAATAAATGTCTCATTTTGCAATTTCTGTTGGCACTAATAGGATAATTCAGAATAGCAGGTTATAAAAAAATTACAAAGTTCAATGTTAATCACCTTTATCAAGCACATTTTAAACCTATTGTAAAGACATCATAGGGTGCTATGGGGAAAGTGGAACAGATTAAAATAAGCACCCAGAGGTACTTTAATTGGAAACTAATGTCATCTAAGTGTAGGGAGGTGGAATAACAATATCATCATTGAATTGGTGCAGGATCATTCTCTTTTCTTGTTCTGGGGACACTGTTTTTCTTCTGATTGAAGGGGGAAGGTATTATCTTCCTTTAAAAATGAAGATTCTTTTGAAATGGAGTCATAACAAATATTTGATTGTACGTTAAAGGCTTGATATTGATAAAAGACTACTTGTTTTGTAGCTAATGACGGAACCTTATAGCTATCGTACTGTGAAACTGTGAATATTGCAGAGCAATTTCTCTGGTACTGTTAAACCCTAATGTAATGTGTCTCAGCACTGCTTTTCACTTGTAGGTAATTCCTTTCTAAGTGTTGCCTGAAGCTGAAAGTGTTGCCCAAGATTCTGGGATAAAATATATCTCAGGCCCTGACTGAAATAGTTGCCTAAATAAACTGTTGCACTTGAGGAATGGTGTTACCTCTCCCTGGGGTGAAGTGTTCATAAACTTCACTTTTAACTATAGAGTAATTGACACAGACGGTGAGGCGAGGATACTACAGGACGAAAGAGTATCAAATAAAAATTAACAATCTGAGCTCTTTTGTTCTTGAAGGGAGTTTAACATTTTGCAGAAGGCCCGTGTATTTATCACCATAGCGAATCAGTCAGTGTCTCTATTTTAAAAGCTGCTTAATGTCAGCATTAGGCAGCATTAGGCAATGCATTTATTCATTTTATTGCAGGGATTTTGTGAAAGAGACAATTGCATAGATCTTAAACCAAAGTCAGTAAAGTATTACATCTCTGTTATTGTAGACAAGCCTTCTTAAATGTTTAAATAGCCCCTTTCTGCATCTGTATATTGTCTTATTGTGGCATCTGTAATACCATTGTTTTTTTAGCATTACAGATTTAGTTGTTTCTAAAGTTCAACTTTTTTTTTCACATTTCAGGAATAGCAGGTATATTCTCTTTTCAGAAATAACTCCTGAACAGGTGTGACATTTTGGGCCTAAACACTATTAAAATAGAGCATTTAAAGGGCATAAATAATTTGACAATTACAATCAGAAACAAATTCTGGAATTATGATGCTGAATGATCTTACAAGGAAGACAGGTGTCAATGATTTCAGTCTATAAGTTCTCTGTGGATGTTCTTGTAATTCTGATGTATTTCAATGTTTGGTCCACTTATTTGATAATTAGTAAAACAACCTATGTAAAGATCATGTTGTAGCTACAGTGGTTGCTTTAATTTGGCAGTGCAGTTTGTGGTTAACCTGTGCAGAGTTCTTTCTTCAGCAGGTATATAAGCCTTAAAAACGTCTTGTGAATGTCTATTATTTTTTTCAAATATTATAATTTTTTTATGTTGCTAAATGTGTCCTGGAGGAAAGGAATACCCGCATTCAAAGAAATATTTCTGTTTTAACTATAACATAAAAAAGAAAAGCATGCAGGCATCATAAAAGGAAGAATGAGGTGCGGAAATTTACTTTCTGAGCTTTTGTGTATTTTTTCAATCTTGAATTATTTGGATCTATTTGAAGTAGGGCCTGAATGTGAATGGGAAATAAACCCTAAACATGCCCTAGTTTAATTTGTTTTAATAGTGCGAGGTACGGTTTTCACACATCCAGCAGAAGGTTTGATGAGTCACTGTAATTTATTGTGGCCATTAGGAGCTGTGGCTGCTGGCAGAATCCCAGTGAAATTCTAAAGCAGAACCAGATGTGATTAGTGGAGACTGACTCTGCTGAGCGTCAGGGCCCGTTACTCAGACAGCAGCAGCGGGCCTTCAGATGTAAACAATTTGAGCGATATTAACTAGAGTTGCCTGTATTACAGGGTACATTAGATTTATTTTACGGTTTGGTGGTGAAGGTGGTTTTCCCGTCAGATCTGAGGAAGAGTATGCTTCATTCTTCGGATGAACTTGGGAATGCAAAAACAGAGTCACATTAAACCTGCCTTACTTTCCGTACTGTTCTGTTACATTCTCTCTTCGAAAACATGAATTATTAAGTGTATGACAATTTAAATTGGTTCAATAGACTGAATAATGCGTTGTACTATACAAAAATGAACATTTACTGCCTTGCAGTTTTTTTTTTTGCTTTTGCATTATTTTGCATTTGCTTATTCAATTATTGCAGTGCAGATAGTTATTTAATATATTTAGTCATTGTTTAAAGGAATATACTGTAGCTTCCAAAAGAGCTGTAGAGTAAAATCAAGGATGTCCAGTGCATCAGAGCAACATTCAGAAGTGTAAGTGAATAGAGTCAAGCACACAGCCCAAGGCTTGTACATGGATTCCTGATTGGACTCTACAGTCCCCAGTTCACTAACTCCTAATTACTAATTATAGTGTGGGCTGCATCATTAAAGGAATCTGACAAAAGTAGCCTAGTGCCATCTGAGTCTGGATGGATTTGCTAGGAAGAGATGTGCTCTGGCACAGAATGGCCATGTGACCACAATGTCTGGCCTGTGAGCTGTGAAGAGGGATCTTCAGAAGTTCTCTGGCTGACAGTCTCAAGTATCACTGTTGAATTCTCAGATTCCAAGCCTATTATGAAGTGGGCTTGTAGCATGTATAAAGAAACAGATGGTTTGACAGTGCACATTTTGGTCAAAATGTTATCTGCATCTTTCCCATGCTGGGAGTAAGATTGTAGTGGTGAGCATTTTAACAATTGACAGTAATTATTTGAGTGTAAGAAGATAAAAATCTGTTTCAAATTTATTTTTAAAAAGAATAGCTCATGAAATACCTCTTAATGTTTTGATTTCAGAAAAGCTAGGGTGTTGTTTTGGTGCCTTACTGGATAAGTATAATAATGCTTTACTAGTGTTCTCCAAAATCAGCTTCAAGAAACCTTTTCCAATGTTGAAATGTTTAAACAATGATAGAAAACAATACAATGAGAAAAAAACAACAAAGATGAATCACGAGTTACACATAAAATGCTGTACATGATCCAGAACATAATAAAACAAATCAGTAGAAAATTCAGATGTCGTAAGCCATTACTGGAATAGGAATTTGCATTTTTGTTTGCTCACTATTTTATGAACCTAGTGTTTCTGTGTCTGGTACCATGTTTTGGGACCAATGTTGGAATAAGTTGTCACATATATTCAGGATCAACAGCAATAGTTTTACAGTAGATCCTCTCATTGGGGGGGGGTTAATGGGTTTGTTTCAGAAAAGATGATAGGAATGCTAAGGTACTTAAGGAATGCTAATGCTTGATTGTTTATATTTGACATTTATATTAATTATTTCTAAGCAAGTCTATCACCTTAT